TGGATCGTCCTCCGCGCGGTATCGCTTGTTCGTTTTCATTCAGCTTCCAAGAAACACAAGGGCAAGTGCTGGCACTGCGGATTGGTCGAAATTGTAATTTCCCTGATTTTGGACATTCAGAACCAGAATTCTTGAGCAATTAGTTGTCTTCTGACTTCCCATATGCCAATATTTGCAGGGAAAATTCAAGATTCATTGCTAACGAGATGTTAGACCGCCAGCAGGCTTCTTGGAGGCTGAACAGGCTCTGCCTGTCAGCACAGCTCTCATAAGCTATACGCGGAATCGTCGTGGCTTCAGGAACCGCTGTCTTGTTTTGGACCTAGGACAATCAAACGAAGATATCAGAACCGCGGAAGGAGCAGATTGTGGGCTTGAGTTCGGGGCCAAACTTGTCTTTCTGTAAAAATCAAGTATTTGCGCATTATTGAATAAGAAGCAGTCAATCAATCAAAACGAATAGGTATGTATGGGGAGCATCCAAACGCTTCCATCAACCCGTGAGATTTTTCTATGTGCGACAAGACGCTTTGCGCAAGTCTTGTGCAATTTATCTTCCAAATCCAGGATCGGTCGCCTGGAAAGCCTTCAAAATTGCAAGCGACGTTGCAGGATAAGCCATGAGCCTGTCATGGACGCCATACTTCAACATTTCCTGCCGAATCAGCCCTTTGTCCGTCCGCCATTCCACAGTCCAGCCCCCTGAACCCCATTCTTTCTTCATGAGCTGTTTCTCGTGCTCGAGCTCCTCATACCCAATGCCTATCGATTTGGTTGCATTCACTGCATGCCAGAACAAAACGTCGGTGTGGAGGCAATCGATGTCAGTGTCATCCTCAGCATGAATAAATGTGAGGTGGTATTTTTGTGCGATGGCATCGCTTTCACTTCTCCGTATGAACTCGCCAATACGGTCTTTGCTCATCCAGGTGCTCCGGAGAAATGAGTTGAAAAAGGCCAGGAGGGGTGGTACTCGCGAGAGTGGTGAGAGTACTGGAATGACGCCGCCAATCCGATAAGTTGCTGTCAGAGTTGCCACGTCAGAGAAGGACGCGACCAGGACTGTGCCAGAGAAGGAGACCGCTGGTATTTCGGAGGCGTAGTGTCGAATGAGGGAGATGGCTACCGCAGTGCCTAAAGATTGCCCGAAAATGACAATTCGCGAAGCCGGAATTCCCGCTTGGTGAATGGCCCAGTCGACCATTGCGATGCCATCGAGCAAAAGGCCATCCTCTGATGGCATCCCCGTACTTTGGCCGTAGCCGCGGTAGTCTGCAGTCAAGACGTGAATCTTGTCAGGAGAAGCAGAAGATATCCCGCGGTAACTGTCAGGTCGCCATCCGGAAGCAAGGCAGCCTGCAGTACCATGGAAATAGATCACAAGACGTGACTCAGGATCATCTCGAAGGAGTTTCAAGGCGAGATCAGAACCAGAAGGCGCTGCGAGGAGATGCTCTTGATTCCGACTGTAGACTCCAAGTGGAAGAACATGCCATGCATGGAGCTTCTCGCCGTCTGAGGTTTGTATTGAGAAAGATTTGACTTGATTTGGGAGGAATCCGAAGGCCTCTGGGACATTGAGGTCTTTGAACCATGTGAGAGATACGCGGTGGAGATAAAACGCGTGTGTTTGGAGACTCGGGAAAGCAATCAGCAAGCCCAAAATGCAAAAATAAGATGTAGCTGGGAGGATGATGGACAGCGTGGCGAGCTTGAGGAGCCCCATGATGGTTGTCGTTGTTGACAGTGTTGTTTGATTTGAAGTGCGGCACAGCGCAGCGGCGCTTATCAACAGCGCTTCGGCCATCATTGCGGCGTCTGTCTGGAAAAATTGATGAGGTTATGTCCCAAATAGGAAAAAGAGTGCTTACCACGCAAATATGGCGATCTCAAAGCCGTGTAGCCCTCCCGCGAGTACCGTTTAAACTGTCCTCTTCCGACACTGAAACTACCGCTCTTCCCCAAATTTTTCTTTCATCAACATCCTGCAAAGCCTTCGGCACACTGTCTAAGCCTCCATAGACTTGTTTGTAAACAACTGGCCGGATCTTGTTTTGTGATATTAATGCCATAGTACTTTCCCATATGGCGGAAGTTGCTGCAGGGTTGCGGCGAGACTGCTCTCCGAACCGCTGCGGAGGAAAATTGAACATGAGTAGGAGAGAAGCTTGAAAGGGTTGAGGTGTGCACTTACATATCCAATCACGCTCGCGCCCTTGAGCAAGACTTTGTTCATGCTCACCTTCTCCATGATACCTTCTCTCGCAGCAAAACCTATCACCAGGATCTTCCCGCCATACTTCAAACACTTCAACCCATCTTCGACAGCTCCGATCGGATCGAAAATCACATCCACCCCAGAGCCTCCTGTCAGCTCCAACACCTTTTCCTGCCACTTGTCGTGCCTGTAGTTTACCGACTTGGCTCCCAAGCTTTTCACCACGGCTTCTTTCTCTGAGCCACCTGCAACACCAACGACGGTCGCTCCTAACGCTTGCGCCACTTGGATAGCGGCAACTCCCAAGCCGCCACTTGCACCAAGCACTAAGACACTCTGCCCTGCACTTACATGACCACAGCCATCTCCTAACGCCCCATACGCAACGGCAGCGCTCCCACCGACCGCGCACGCTTCGGCATTAGTCCACCGTTGCGGAACAGGCTTGACCTGCAACTCATCGACACAAATCTCCTCTGCGAAGCTGCCGAGGCCGAAGCCAAAAACGCGGGTGCCGGGTCGAAACGACGAGGTGCGGGAAGCGCACAACACAACGCCGGCAAACTCAGTTCCGAGGACGAATGGCGGCTTGACATGACGGCGGTTGTTCTGGTGGCGGCCTTGAGCGTAGAGTAGATCGACGTGCGTTATGGCGGCGTGCGTGACGCGGATGCGCAACTTGTTGGTTCCACATGGAGGAGACGGAATGGTAGAGGCGCTGAGGTCGGAGAGACTCTGCACGTCGAGTCAGGACGGTGAAGATTTTGAACCCAAATCGGCTTACTTTGACCCAATGATCTATTAAGATCGCTTTCATGGTGACAGCGTTGTAAGCTTTGCGCAAAGATGGACGCCCTTAGCTGCTCGTGGAAAGCAATCTGGGAAGCGGGAGATCGACGGCGGGGTGGGATAGCCGAGGCTCTGGTTCCGAGGCTTGGTGACAAAGTTGTCGCGTACCCTGGAATTGGAACATTTGTCGTATGGAACAGTTCGCGACTTCGAGAAGGCACAGGTGAGAAAAAGTTTGAATGTTGAGCTGCCACCCCGAAACGCATGTGAAAAATGGGTGCTGCATGGAAGCATTCGGTCCCAGTAAAAGAACAGAGACTAGGAACATTCAAGGGTCTTAGAGTGACAGACGACTGGTTCGTGGAAAGGCAAGGGAGACCCTTGAAGTCCCGTGCCTGGAATTGCCCTGCAGCAAGTCTATCGACAAATCAAATTTCGCTCCCAGAATACGATCCTAGAAGAGAATGAGCACCCGAAGATTTGAGCACTACACAGTCCACTGAAGGCACTTCAACATGCCCAACCGCCGTCAATCGAATACGTCGCTCCTGTGATGAAGCCAGCCTCGTCGCTAAGCAAATAGGCGATGAGGCCTGCAACCTCTTGAGGCGTGCCTATGCGCTTGATGGGCGTTTGGATCTCGTTCTTGTGCTCAAGCTGAACCATTCTGGTGTCTATGGCGCCCCTGATCACAGTCAGTACGCCGAGAGTTGGAATCGACTGGGTTCGACATACGGTGCAACGGCGTTGACGCGCACATTTCTCGCGCCGTTTTCTTTGGCCGCACTCCTCACCAGGCCGATGACGCCGTGCTTCGCTGCAGAGTAGGCGGCTGAAGTTGGGAACCCGAGCCGACCTTGAACGCTGGAGAGGCAGACGATGCTTCCTCCGTCCTTGATGTTTCGGAGCTCTGCACGGAGAGAGTAGAAAGTGCCCTAGAGTCCGTCAGTCAAAGACGTTTGCGCCAAACAGGAAACGCCAAACGAACCGAGAGGTTGGTATGAAGAAGTGTATCCCAGCGCTCGTCCGAAGTGTCTTCAATCTTTGGCGCACCAGATTCCGAGCAATTTCTCCCCGCAGAGTTGACGGCGGCGTCCAACTTCCCAGCCCACTGGACAGTGTTGTCCATCCAGTGGTCCACATTTTGTCGATTTGTGATATCCAACCTTTGAAAAAAAGTGTCTCCTCCTTTACCAATGGATTTGAAGTACTCCTCAGCCTTCTCGAGTTCGGCTTTGTCGATATCACCGATTGATACCCTGGCCCCACGCGAGACCAGCGTCTTGGCGGTTTCAAAGCCAATGCCTTGAGCACCACCAGTAATAGCAACGACTTTTCCTTCCATATTTTGTTACTCTGTACCTCTTGAGCTTTCCACCAGAGAAATTGAGAGATGAGTTGGCGAAAGCAAAGCGAGCTGTTCTCTGTTGCCGACAACCCTGCCAGCAACCCCGCACGCCTGGAAATCGAGTTCCACGAAGGTGGAGCCTACATTGCTAGCAGCCGGGACCATTTGGACACAGGGCCAACAATCATTACTCATTACAGCTGCCGGAAAATGATGATTAGGCAAAACGTTGGCACGTGGGTGCGTCGGGCGCCGCCATGAAAGCCGGCGGAGGATCGATCTCTCACCTCCGGAAACCCACTTTGGGGCATCCGGTCCTTTTACTGCGTTGTTGACAGCGACGATTTATATTTAGAATGTCGGTGCTGCGCCATGTAGCCAAAACGAGCCGAAACGGGTTGGTGGGGTAGTGGAAACATGCGCCGTGGCTACAGTCGCGCCCATGGCGAGTCCTAGGCTCAAGTCCTGGCCAATCTGCGATTCTTTTTACCTGATTTCTTTTTGCTCTGCAGAAGAGAGTGGTAGCGAGTCTCAGGAAAGGGAAAGTCAAGGATCCTAATCAGCGCGAGACCTGTTTGCGGAGTGGTTGAGAAAGTAAGGCTTTGTGGGTGTGTCAGGTAAACATGCTGCTCTCACAGTAGTACTGGGTTGGTGGTGTAGTAGAAACGCGTGCCGTGGCTACAGTCGCATCCACGGTAAGTCCCAGGTTCAATTTCTGGCCAATCTATTGACTGGAGACGTTTTGAAGGCCTTTCTTTCTTGCTGCTCGCTGTATCTTGCAGAGTGGTACCGAAGCACGTCCCCGGGGCTGGCGATGCGCGCTTGCGGTATTCTAGGAGCTGTTGGACCATATGAAACGCACGAAGACGGAAGATAAAGACGGAAGGCGTCTCGCCTCAGCTTGCGGCTGTCTGCAGCTGTCTGCATTTTCGCTTTTTGCGCCGGGACTGTTTGGTGTCAGTGATGTATGTCCGCAATAATCTTCACCGGTGGGCGGCGAAAAAAAGCGTGAATGATAGTCGTAGAATTGAGATGGAGAGGAAGGTACCATGTATGCTACTATGAGTAGGAATCGAGGATCAACAAGGGACGAGAGACAGCTATACGCCTACCTGCTGCATCTGTGTCGGGTCAGCTCTCGGCATTTCCAGAAGCAGACAGAGGGCGCTCACCAGCACCGATCTTCCCAGTGCTACGTAGATAAGCGAGCAGAAATAATCTGCGTGGCGGGCGTAAGCGCGTGGCGGAGCGGGCCGCTACGGTACGGATGCAATTTCGGGCTGCGATATTCGCCTGCCCAGCTCCCCACGGTATCCGTGGTAACCATCAGGGCCGAGACTGAAACTTTTTGGGAGCGGAAGAACTGATGAAGGCAAATCTCATTACCCCTGATACGAATGAATACAAGGAGCAACGGATTGTCTACCGACAGAGATCGCGGGGGTGTATGCTTGCTCGAAGCTTTCAGTGTCGTTGCAATTTTGAGAACGCGAGAACCAGTTTTGATATTGGACCGGGAGAGATGTTTCTGCTGATGTGCTAGATGAACCCAGGATGCCGGAGAGCCCAGGAGAAGTTTTCGGATCTTGATCGTTGAGCATCAGTCCACCTTTCGGATCATTTGTTCGCTGCTGTCATTTGGGAATTTTCTTCAGATTCCTGTCGCGTCGCTCCTGGCCGAAATGTTTCGCCAGATGGTGAGGAATACCAAAGCTTTCAAACAAAAGTCGGTTGGTGAGAATTCATGGGCGTTTGATTGTTACCCCGGTCTTGTGTGAGACGAGTTCCCGCACAGAAGCCTTGTAAGTCTTGAGAAGATGCTTGAATGAAGACGACTGGTGTCAAATAACCAGCACGAAGATGGCATCCTACTCAAGAAACTGACAATCCAGATCAAGAGCATTCCCTTGGGAGAGACCCCAAGTCATACATTGGGCGATATCGCTCTTCTTGGCCTGGTCCATGTGCGCTCATCGGATTGGTCTTTTTGAGCCGGCGTGATTTTGTACAATTCAAAGAGGTTCCTGGAAGAGTCATCTGGACTCTATGCAGTCATCACCTTGCCGCAGCTCTTCGAAAACCGGTCGATGCGGTAAGCGGGGACGCTATGCGCATGCAGCGTCGCCATCATGAGAGGTAAGCCAGTGATGCTTCCTCAGTACTCACACGATAGTATCTGGAGAGCTGTTCACAAAGGGTTGCAGAGCAATGGACGAATCCAGGGTTTTTTGTCGTAATGACGAAGAGATGAGGTCGGTTGGTCAGGTCTGACAAGCGAACTAATCCCAGGCGCAGATCAGCGCCATGCCGCTTCGAGAAGCTCGTCGGGCCGTAAACCGGTGATAAGCGACCATCTCGTTCAGCCCTCCCTCGGGCATGTCGCGCGCCCTGCGACAAGAGGCCCTTGCATACAAATGACTCCGCGTCCATCCCACTTACAAATATCTAGCGTCGCGCCTCATTTGTCTTGCATCTCGCAGCTCCAGCATCGTTCCCTCGCATCCAATTGCTACTCTACAACCGCCATGGCCCCCCACAACGTCGAGGTCGAAGCAATTACCGACACCACGGGTGTGCCGCTACCGGATCCGCTGGCGGCTCCCATGCCCATCAACGACATTCGGGGCCGCCGCAAGAAGGCTGAGAAGTCGACGTGGGGCGTCGCGGCCCCCGCAAACAGCGAGCGCTTCAAGAGCTACTCGCACAGTCACAAGCCCAAGGCGAAGAGGTGGGATCGTAAGTCCGTAATGCGCCCTGCCTCTCAATGTCTCTCTGCCATAGCAATTGAGCGGCCATTGCGTGATACGGATGCTAATCTACGCAATTGGCCTGTCTAGACTACATTAGCACCGAGTCCAAGTCGCGAAAGGGCAACTCGCTCAAGAATGCCGCCAAATACCTGGGCAAGCCCGGTCTGATTTCTCTCGGAGGAGGCCTGCCCTCGTCCGAGTATTTCCCATTCGACAGCCTCGATTTGACCATGCCGTCCGTGGGCAAGTACAGTGAGCAAGAGACCAAGGAGGAGGGCGTCAAGGTCCACGTAGGCAAGCATGATTTGGCCGAGGACAAGAGCATTTTCGACATTGCCACGGCCTTCAACTATGGCCAGGGTCACGGCGCGGCGCAATTGCTGCGCTGGGTCACTGAGCACACAGAGCTCATCCACAACCCTCCCTACGCTGATTGGGCGTGCCACATGACCATTGGCAGCACTTCTGCCCTGGAAATGTCGCTGCGCATCTTCACTCAGCCCGGTGACTACATCCTGTCCGAGGACTACACATTCGCGACGGCAATCGAGACGGCAGCGCCAATGGGAGTAAAGGTCGCAGGCGTAAAGATGGACGACCAAGGCCTGCTTCCCGATAGCCTAGACCAGGTGCTCACAAACTGGGACTCTGCCGCCAGGGGTGGCGCTCGTAAGCCGTTCGTCCTGTACACTGTGCCCTCTGGCCAGAACCCCACGGGCGCCACGCAGGGCGCAGAGCGTCGGCGGGAGATCTACAAGGTGGCGCAGAAACACGACCTCTACATTTTCGAGGACGAGCCGTATTACTTTCTGCAGATGGACCCTTACGGCGGTCCGGACGCCGCCACGCCGGAGCCGCCAGCCTCCCACGCCGAGTTTTTGAAGGAGATCGTCCCCTCGCTGCTGAGCATGGACGTTGACGGTCGCGTCCTGCGCATGGATTCCTTCTCCAAGGTTGTGTCGCCGGGCAGCAGAGTTGGCTGGATCACGGGCGCCCAGCAGATCGTAGAGCGGTACTCGAAGCACGCGGACGTGTCGACGCAGGGCCCGAGCGGCATGAGCCAGTTGATCCTGTTCAAGCTCCTCGACGAGCACTGGGGACACTCGGGATACATTGACTGGCTGATTCACATTCGCAAGGAGTACACGCACCGCCGCGACGTGATGCTCCGGGCCTGCGACAAGTTCCTGCCAAAGGACGTGGTGAGCTGGAAGCCGCCCATGGCAGGCATGTTCGTAAGTGATTCTTGACAGAGCCTCCATTCGAGAATTATCGACACTAACAACTGCTAAGCACTGGCTTCAAATCGACTGGCGCAAGCACCCTCACGCGTCGACCAAGTCGCTCACTGAGCTGGAAGACGATATCTTCCAGCTCATCATCGAACACGGCGCGCTCGTCATGAAGGGCAGCTGGTTCTACGCCGAGCCCGACGCCGCCCACGACACCATGTTCTTCCGCGCCACGTTCGCTGCCGCTCCGGCCGACAAAATCCAGGAGGCCATCCACCGCTTTGGCGACGCCATCAGGGAGAGCTTCAAGCTCAAGAACTGAATTTCGATCTTTCCTTGAAAAGATTTAAGCGATGTACAGCATTTGGATGCTTCCAATGACTCATGAGCAGTCGCCATTTTACGCATGATTTTTTGACCTGAGCGCTTGGTACCCTTTTGGATAAATAGATTCGGTTGGCAAGTGTGTTGCATAGAATTGGAAATTTGACTACTTTTTTGGGGATACAAGGTCGTGACGTCGGAAGGAAGAAACAGTGACGGGGATATCTAGTTGATGAAGTTGACGCAGAAAAAGTGCAGAATCACGCTGCCGAAGATGTAATCTGCGAAGGCACTGCAAGGAAGCTGCGTCAGCCGTTGTCGGGGTCTCGGGCCAAAATGTCCGATGGACAGGAGGGCCTCTTCTTCCAAGTGTAACGTACCGCTCGTGCGAGATGCTCTCAAAGTCTGCCTTGTTTTCCGGGTTGGTCTGGATACGCAAGCTCGCCGTGAGCACAAACTGGCCGACGGTGGCCGAAAAGCCGGAGAGGAAAGCGTTGAAGGGCTGTCGGAAACACCAGTTAGCGCTCGAATCCAGCACAAAGATCTTGCTGTCCCCAATGTTGCCTTTCCATCCATCCATCCATCCATCCATCCCATTCGATCCTCCCTTCTCGGCCACACCCTTCTCAACCCAAATCCCCACGAGAAAGACTCGACTTACGTAGTTGCCCCCGATAACGCAGTAGATGAATTGCAGCGCGCCCACGACAACCAGAAACGCCATGAAGACATCGAGGAGCTTGGTGCGCTGGTCCGTCTTGGCCTGGTAGTTGCGCCAGATGCCCGCAGCAATGGCCTGCGCGTCGTTGCCCTGGATCTTTGCCTGTCCAGACGCAGAGCTCGCCGCCTTGGTCGCCGTAGAAGGAGGAGCAGCGTTGGAGCCCGCGGCGCTGGGGAAGCCGGACGTGGCTGCGGCGGCGGAGGGAGGTGCCGCGGCGGGACTCGTGGCTTGTTTGCGGGGCGGCATGGTCGAGGGACGAGAGGGAGAGAAAGCAGGAGGATGCTAGACGACGGCTGGCGGGACTGAAGGCAAGGTGGTGTCGAATTGGTGCCCTCACAGTTGTGGTGGTGAAGATTGCTGGTGGTTATGTTCCGTAGCTTGGATTGAGGCCAGTTGGACGGAGACACCTTGGGAGCTCGGGCCAGGTGTATGCGCGGCGCCCGCCCATAGTACCCGACAGGTAGTGCTCCGCTCAGCGGTGAGAGAGGCGGCGGAAAAGCTTGGCTGGGCAGGAGTTCCGCCGCGGGCGGGGGACGGGACGGAGCTGCGATCGGGACCTGAGCGTCATAGAGCGAGCGGACCCGAGGCTCTCGAACGCTCCGGGCTGAGCTATATGTCAGCTACAACATCTCCTCTCAGTCTTCACTCCATCTTCTCTGCGCGACAAAGAATCCGCACCGGAAGCATCGAAGCCAATTGA